ATAAAGTTTATCTCCTCTTTCCTCATAACCTCACTTTCGTGTGTAACAGAGAAGAATTGTATTAGCAGTTTTGGGATGTCAGACTCCACATATCAAAGCAAAAATTTTTATGCTGCAAAACACCAAAGAAACCGATACAAGTTTTCCCCTTTTCACAAAGTTGTTATATATTTGTGCGTCGGCAGTCTGAGAATAAATATTGCACGTGAAAAACGCACTTTCCGTGACTTGATAAATTGGCTGAGTATTGTGCCTTTCAGATACATGCGCAAAAAAGAAAAAGCGGCAAACTTTGGCTTGAGCTAGTTGAGGCATGATGCTAATTATGAAAGGGCCACGAAACAGCACCCGTGCGGTTTTCTATAATTGTATGTTCTTGCACCAGAGTGAAGCATGGCCTGCTCTTCTATAAAGAACGGCCTGTGCGCTTGTGCCACCATTGTGACAGATTGCTGCATCAATGCAATTTCATCGCACAATATATATATATATATATATATATATATATATATATATATATATATATATATATATATATATACCAACAAGTAAAGGATGGGCAAGCCGAAAACTTTTATTTTTCCTACGTTTCAGCCGGGGACCGGCCTTCATTTTTTGGCATTGGCAGCATTGATTGCGGCAGCGTGACTGCTTCTAACTACCGCCATGAATTCTGTACAGATATACTGAACCTGTTGCCTCCGGCTGATCATTTTATGCTGTTAGCGTGTATTCAAGGAATACACGTGTCACGTTTTGCTGCTTCGCTGTCGTGGCTGACTTGCTGGGCTGGCTTGGACTGCACTTCTGCGCCTGCGTAGTCTGCACTTCGGACGCCTAGCGGGGACAAGATCCTACAGAAGGACGTGCTCCTGGACGACGGCGATCATTTGGCAGCAGTGGTTGTGGCAGCGTGACGGCTTCTAACTATCGACTTGAATTCTGTACAGGTTGGTGCTTTGCCAGTTCTTTCTCTTTTTTTGTGCTCTGTCACAGCCACTGCCGCTGCTGCCATTTTGTGTTGTCATTGCATCGTGTCACTATGCCTACAAATGCTGAATTAGCAAGGGAAATCGAAGGTCTCTGTTCTGAGGTTTCAGACATGCGAAACAGCCTTGAAGCATTCATTGAACTTTATGAATCAGTCAAGGCAAAAAATAAAGCTCTCACGAAAGAAAAGGAGTTGAGGGATGAAAATAAATCGCTCAAAGATGCCTGCAGGCTGTTCTCGCAGCGACTTTCTGACGTTGAGCAGTATTCACGGACGAACAATGTCGAAATAAAAGGTATTCCAAAGACAAATGGCGAGAGCTGCCTCGCTGTTGTGCAGGCCATTGGCGAAAAAGTTGGCTGTGTGATTGCCCCGAGTGATGTAGATATAGCGCACCGTGTACCGGGAAGGCAGGGCACGCATATTATTGCAATGTTCTGTTTATTGTCGAAAAAAAAACAGACTTTGCTGCTAAAGCAAGAAAGGCAATACTTAATACAACAGCTATTGGGCTTTCAGAAAATTCAGTTGCCCCTATCTACGTCAATAACCACCTGACACCAGAGAATAAGCGAATTTTTGCGCAAGCTGAAGAGAGCCAAGGGTTGGAAATTTTCCTGGACAGATAACTGTATTATCGAGGCCAGAAAATCAGAAGCTAGTCGAGTACACCGCATCTCTGGCATGGGAAATCTTGCCGTATTTAAATAACTTGTGATTGTAAGCCCCATTTTACTATACTATAGTCACCGTTCAAACCTTTATTTTTATTTTTGTTATTTATTTATCATACCCTTAGGGCCAAATGCATTACAGAGGGGAGTGGTGGGACAGCAAGAAACTGAAAAAAGCACAAAGACAATAAGATACAACATACAATAACATCATTAACACAATGTTTTGAAAAACATTAGAAGACCTCCTGATTATATAATGTTAGCTAGAACATTTAGAAACTGTTGAACGTCATTAATGGGTGCAGTGTCAAAAGGAAGGCGATTCCAGTCGCGACTTGGCCAGGGCAAGAAGGAATGAAAGCAATGCTATGTTTTGCACATATCAATTCCAACTTTGCGCGCATGGTCAACATGACTTAATTGATAGTGTGGCTTAGGTATAAGCTCGCCACGCAGCACGGAGTGGTGATACAGCGTATAAAAAATAGATCAAAATTTGACGCTAGTGAAGACAGATGGGAGGGCTAAATCAGATTTCATTCTAGTAATGCTCGTGGTTCGATGGTAATTGCCTAGCACAAATCTAACAGAATTATTTTGAGCAAGTTGTAGTACAGTTATAAGTTTTCCGTGACATGGGTTCCATACTCAGCATACATATTCCAGTTTGAAACGAACTAATGTTTTGTAGAGTAATAATTTCAGTGATGAGGGAGCTGTAAAAAATTGTGGTGCAGATAACCCAACATGCGGTTAGCTTGGTTAATAATGTGCTCAATATGAAAGTTCCAGATTAAGTTCGTGGTATTGTGAATGCCAAGGTATTTGTAGGAAGCAACTGATTCGAATTGGATATTGTTAAGAAATATTGTGATGGGTTGGTTTTAGTAAGAGAAACACGCATTTGTTAGTGTTGAGTTCAATTAGCCAAGTTTTCAACCAATTAACCACAGAGTTCAAATCAGACTGCAAAATGGTAGCGTCATTATCAGAGGTTACTTCACGGAAAATAACCCAGTCATCAGAAAACAAAAGAACATCAGATTTCAACAAAGAAGGCAAGTCATTAATAAAAATAAGAAACAAGAGGGGCCCCAGGACGGATCCTTGCGGCACACCTGAATAAACAGGGCTAAATGGAGAGCGACATTGATTAGCGACCACAAACTGCGAACGGTCAGTCAAAAAAATGTTCAATCCAAGTTAACAAACTTCTGTGAATGTTTAATTGATTTAGTTTGTAAAGTAGTAGCCCGTGTGAAACCTTATCGAATGCCTTTAAAAAATCTAAAAATATGCAGTCAGCATGCGAATACCTATGTAAATTTGATGTAATTTTTGTGTAAAGTAAATTAGTTGGGTTTCACAGGAGTACGACTTGCGAAAATCATGTTGGGCTGCTGCGAAAAACGAGTTGGGTTCTAGATAGTTAACAAAAGTATTGGAGACGACATGTTCTAGTATTTTGCAGCAGTTACTGGTTAGCGAAATGGGGCGATAATTGCTTGGAATATTTTTATTGCTGGACTTATGAACAGGAATGACCTTTCCTATTTTCCATTTCTTAGGACGCGTACCCGTGGCCACTGATTGCTGAAATATTTTTGTTAATATGATAGAACAATAAACACCAGTGTTTTTCAAAAATTTTGTGCTTAGGTCATCAAAGCCAGGAGATGAAGAATTATTTAGGTGAGTGATAAGTTTAAAGATACCGGAAAGATCGATTTGTACTGAAAGCATAGCTGCGCAATAAAGTGCTTGAGTTGAAGGCTTCGCAACGGTAGACGCCGCGGAAAAGCTTTTTACGAATGTATCATTGAGAAGCCTAGTGCAAATATTGCTGGGAACTGGTTCACCAGATGTGTCGTTTAAGGTGATGGTGTCATCGGAAGGAGGATTTATGGTACGCCAAAATTTTTTTAAGTCTGAAGAAAGCATAGACGGAAGCACATTAGATACAAAATTCTGTTTAGCACTTTTTGTTGCCCAAATATAATCATTGGAAGCAATCTTGTACGCATCCCAACGCGAGTTAGAAGGTGAGCGTCTGGCGATGCGACACAAAAGTTTTTTTCTTATTCGACAGACGCTTCATATGGACGTTGTACCATGGTGCTTGAGCAGGCGTGGTGATGACTCGCTTTGGTATGTATTTATCAATGAGTTCGTGAGCTTTAGCTTCAAACCTGTTCCAGTTACCTTCTAGAGATTTGACAAATGCACTCAAGATTGGTTGATTTGTGGGATTTAACGTCCCAAAACCACTATTTGATTATGAGAGACGCCGTAGTGGAGGGCTCCGGAAATTTTGACCACCTGGGGTTCTTCAACGTGCACCCAAATCTGAGTACACGGGCCTACAACATTTCCGCCTCCATTGGAAATGCAGCCGCCACAGCCGGGATTTGATCCCGCGACCTGCGGGTCAGCAGCCGAGTACCTTAGCCACTAGACCACCGTGGCGGGGCAAATGTACTCCAGAATACATCTTTAAACTCGTGAAGTTCGTTATTGAGTGCATCGAAGTTGGCTCTGTTGTAGTCAAGAATGGTTTTACATTTTTAGAGCGCGCTTAATCAGTAGTTTTAATGTGAAAATTGAGCAGCAAGTGATGACTAATTCCAGGACAGCAAGTTACAGCAGAGATAAGATCAGGTGTATTAGTTAGAATTAGGTGAAGTGTATTAGATGGGGTCGAGGACAGCCTAGTGGGTTCGGTAACAAGTTGAGTGAGGGAAAAGACAGAACACAAATCCAAGAATTCCTGTGCTTCAGTTTAATATGGGGTTACAGTGCGAGGGGTGGTACACCATGTTATATTAGGGAAGTGAAAATCTCCTAGAAGGATGACGGAGGAAGAAGGAAACTGTGTGCAGATAATATTGAGGACGTCATGTAGTTCATTTGTAAAACAAGGCAACGAAGTGGGGGGTCTGAAGCAAACACCTAGGATGAACTTCCGATGGTCAATGGTTACCGAGGCCCTGATTGTTTCAAGATTGCTGCCTATAGAAATGCTTGCTGAAAGAAATTCGTTCGAATTGGCCAGAAGTACGCCACCGCCTCGAGACTCGTTGTGGTCGCATCGGTAGGTGTTGAATCTGGAGGCGTCTTGGAAAATTTCGGAGTTTTGAATATGATTACAGAGCCAAGTTTCAGTGATTGCGGCAACAGCCGCAGAGCAAGATTCTAATGCAGATGACAGTAAATCTTTTTGTTAACGACACTACGCGCATTGCTGAATAATACAGAGATATTTGATAATGTTCGTCCACAACCCATATCGCTTCCCTATGTCACGGTATCAAGAACAGGCGTAGACGTAGTGACGGTTTGTCGTAAAACAAGGTGTTTATTGCTCTGAAAATCTTCAATACGGTCAGTGTTTGCTTTGTAAGTTTTTGTTTATGGTGAGCTTTTTGTGACTCAGCAAAAAGGGAGGGGAACCGGGTTGATTTTTAGCAAGTTCAGTAAGCTTTTTCCAGGCAATGTGGGTGGCTGGACAAAAATCTTCGTATAGTACAATATTTTTCCGTTTGAAATGCTTAAATACCGAAAGTATTTGTTCTTTCACTTTAAAGTTCAGAAACTTCGCGATAACTGGATGACATTTGTTTAGAAAAAGGCTGCGTATACGATGCGCCTGTTTGATTCAACCAGAGGGAAGTGAGGGTATCACTTCGTTTAGAATTGTAGTAAATATTCTTTCAGTTTGTTGCCAGGTTTCCTTTGAGTCAGGCAACCCATAAAACAGCAAGTTGTCACGGCGTGAACGGTCTTCAAGTTCATCGATACGTGACTGCAAAAGAGCATTTTGTGTGGCTAAAGAACCTGCAGTGGACTGTGATTCTGAAATTTGCGCACCAAGGTCATACACAGCACGACATGTTTCCTCCAGGGCGTTCAGTCTTTGTGGAATGTTCGAGACATTCATTTCAATAGTCTTTTGTCCGGTTTTAATACTTTTGATATCTGCCACAACCTCAGCCTGAAATTTAGAACTTTAGAGTGAGCGGGCACGAACATCTCCCTGTAACCGGAAGAGAACGCCCATCTGTTTGGTAGGGTTGTCAGGCAGGCTTTCAATGTCAAGAAGTGCTTCTGAGCGAGTAGTGGGCCCGGGGTTTGATTCAACGGCACCACAACACAGTAATAATAATGCCACACAAAAACACTCCGACAAAGTTTTACGCAACACCAGTGGGCACGGGAACAGCAGGGTACAACGGTCATCGGTTTTTCTCGCATACAGCGAAAAGTGGTTACACACTTTTCGCTGTATGCGAGAAAAGATAATGAAAAGTTGCCGATTAGGAGCCGCTACGAAGGTGCTGCTCCCATGCCTACTGAAGAGTGTGTTGGCGTGCCAGCTGCTTAAATCCTCATGAGATGATGATGCAGTCGTTCATTGGCCGGCCCGGAGGAAGGCGAGTTCGGTTGGTGCGTGTCATTCATGGACGATCACGCAACAGGTCCGCGCTGTTGACGCAGCATCCAGCTTGTCTTTCGAAGGGGTCGCTATCGGCCGCGTGCAACTGATGCCAGGAAATGCGCTGGACACAGCCGACAGCCACGAAACGAGCATAGCAGGCAGGATCTGCATGATGAAAAAATGTCGATTAGGAGCCACTCCGAAGACGCTGCTCCCATGCCCACTCTGATAAGGAAAATGGACGCCACCATATTTTCCTTCGAACGCACCAAAGCACTTCTCAAGGACAATACGTCTGCACTGTCCCTGATTCATTTTAACATCAAGAGCCTTCGTAAACACTACGATGACCTTAGCGCTTTCTTTTCAGTTGTCCATCATACGTTTTCACTCATATGCTTATCAGAAACTTGGTTGACTTCACACGACGGTGCACTGTATGGAATCCCTGACTACACATCATAATATTGTCATTGTAAGGGTAGTCGTGGAGGCGGTTCAGCTATTGTGGTTGAATCTTCTGTGCCTTACCAGCGACGACTTGCTTTGTCCTTAAGCACATCACTTTGCGAATTTGTTTGAATTGAAATTGACAGTCATTATTTGTCGATGACCAACCGTAACACCATCAATATATCACTTTACCAATCTCCTTCTTCATCATATGCAGAGTTTCGCGCAGAACTTGAGCTATTGTTAAACAAACTAATGGAAGTGAACAAGAACATAGTTCTATGTGGTGACATAAACATTAATATCGCTAGTCAACAGAGCCAATCCGTTTCTGAATACATATGTTGCTTTCTTGGTTGCGGATTTTTGTCAGTAATACCTACTCCAACTAGGTACGATTCCAATACACTGATAGATCACATTTTGGTCAGTCTGTCTACCGATGACATTAGAGCAGGTGTATTTGATTTTGCTATCGCGGATCATTATCCGATATTTTTGTGTTTTGGTTTTAAAGAGATTCGCCGTAGTAAAAATAACGTGCGCACTACTTTTGATTCAAAAACCTTTGTAGACACCATTCGAAAGACTAACTGGAACGAAATATATGGCGAAAGTAACGCCGAAACCACATTCAACTTTTTTCAGCTAAGGTAAGAGAATGTACTTGTAGTCAGTCGTGCTCTGAAACTATAAAAAAAGAATGGTTCAGTGCACCTAGGAATCCTTGGATTACTAAGGCACTAATGCATTCTATTAGGAAAAAGGACAATCTTCTCAAAAAGGTCAAAGCATAACAATTCAATCATTCACTCAAATGTCGGCTAAAAACTTATTCCAATATTTTGGGGGCTGCCCTAAAGCACGCTAAACGGAAATGCTATCAAAGTAAGATTAGAAATATTAGTGGCAACACAAGGCAGAAGTGGTAAGTAATTAAAGAATTTCTGAACAGCCATGAGCCTAAATTGCACTCAACTGCTATATCTCGTAACCAAAACAGATACACTGATTCTGATTCTATTGCGGATGTTTTCAGCTCTAATTTCAGCACCCCTGTGAGTACTAACACAAAGGCTCAGTCGGAACTCTCACTTTCAAGTCTTCCACATACTCCTCAATCTTTTTTTTTTGTAACCCACGGTAGCAGATGAAGTTAACAATATCACCTCATCATTAAAGAATGCTGGCCCAGGGCTTGATGAAATCTGCTTTTCTAAATATAAACTGGTATCAAAAGAACTTTCCCCAATCTTAGGCTATTTATTCAATAAGCTTTTCGCAGCTGCTGTGTTTCCTAAAGGCCTTAAAGCAGGGAAAATTATCCCCAATTTTAAGAAAGGTGATCGCGAATGCTGTAACAATTATCATTTGCATTTTACCTTTCATTAGTAAAGTCAGCCAAAAACTAGTTTGCCACCATTTAATGAAATACCTATCTAAATTCCACATATTATCTGATCACCAATTTAGCTTTTTTCCAGGTCTTTCGACTGAAGTTGCACTAATAACATTCACTGACAAGATTAAATTGACAATTGATGAAGGTCTTTTTTTGGAGCGGTGTTTATTGATTTTACTAAAGCTTTCGATACAATTAACCACGCCATCCTATTTCATAAGCTTGACTGTTACAGCATATCTGGACCACCCCTTCATCTCATTAAAAGCTATCTTGGTTATCGGACGCAGGTTGTTCAGAGAAACCAGAGTTTTTGATCTCCGAAAACCACTGAGATTGGCGTTCCTCAAGGGTCAATCCTGGGACCACTCCTGTTTTTGTTATTTATAAATGACTCACCACTTCGTCTGAATCACACTAACGTTCTTCTCTACGCTGATGACACTACTATTTTTACCGCACACAAGGATCCACTCATGCTGCAACAATCACTAAACGTCGACCTAAATAACGTTCATTCATGGTATGTATCGAATCTGTTATTCATCAACCCACCAAAGACAAATTTCATGGTATTTCGTTCCCCGCAGTTGTTTCCAAACATCGCTTCATTAGCAGTGACACATGATAGACACTTCATTCATGCATGTTCATCTACAAAATTTCTTGGTGTGGTAATAAATAAATATTTGAAATTCAGCGAGCATGCGCAGGCCTTAATTCAAAAGGTGTCTTTCGGTATTCACGTGATCATCAAAAGAAGAGCTTAATTCTCCACTGAAACCCTTTTATATTTATATTACGCATTCATTCATAGGAACCTGCCGTACTTCGTATCATCATGGGGAAATACATATTGGTCACATGGAAATCATTTAGAACGATTACAAAAGCAAGCTTTGAGACTCATTACTTTCAAACCATTTTCATCACCATCAGCCCCCCTTTATAGCAACATGAACATTTTACCTCTGCATAAACTCTTCAGCTACAAAATTAAAATGATCATGTTTCGTATCCTTAATAATGAATTATACATTTCCAGTTTCTCGGAAGTTACTCTTGTAAATACTAACAACACCAGGTTTTCAGCTAACCGTAATCTACTTCTACCTAAAGTATGTACCCACTATGGTCAAATGACGGCAAGATTTTTATGCGTAACACTGTAGAACATGCTGCCTGTTGATCTGAAATCATGCTCAATGTACTCCTTTAGTAAGCGCTTGAAGGTCTTATTGTTAAATGACTTAAGACTTGAATGTTTTCTTTTGTGTTTCTTTGTTTCAAGCAAATTATCACTATTTCTCATATGGCCCTACGTATTTGCGCCATTTTTTAAAATATTGATGTGATTTTGTTGCTGTTCGCTGACTAAGAAGCTAATCCTCTTTTTCCTTTTTGTTAGGTGGTCCCCCTGACAGTTTTTACTTTGAGACTTCTGATTGTTCATTCGCCATGCAAAAATGTATTCATAAAAACTGTATCTATTTTTTAGTAAATAACAACAACAACACGGTACAAAAACCAGTGCTCATCATCGAGTTCTGGCTAGCACTGTCTTTGTATTGTGTTTTCCCTCATGAAGGCCGTTCCCCGGCTGAAACGTAGGAAAAATAAAGTTTTCGTTTTGCCCGTCCTCTACTTCTTATTATTTTTCCTCTTGATCCAAGGACACCTTCTTATATATTGTTACGGTCCGATGGATGCCTTTATTTACAGGAGATGATCAATGCGAGAGTCCAGGGATCTGACCGATCACCGCTCGTGCCAACCTCGTTCTCCTCTTCTTCCACGCGCATCCTCAGTATTGTAGCAATTCCCCCTTTGCAGACGATGCCCACCGGGCGAGTTAGGCTTCGTTGCGATGATGGTAGCGTTTTAAACGGGCAACATGAACGACGTTGGTCTTGCTTGAGCGGCGGCCAGTTGACAACAGCTGAGGTATCACGTACGTGACATCGCTTAGACGTTCCAAGACAACAAACGGACCGGTGTAGTTGGCCAGAAACTTTTGGCAGAGGCCGCGCTTGCGAAGCGGCGTCCAAAGCCTCACCGAATCCCCTTTCTCAAACCATACGTGCCGGTGACTTCTGTCGTAACGGTTTTTGGAGCGTTTCTGTGAGACGAAAGTTCGAAGACAGGCGATGCGCCGGGCCTCTTCTGCGCGGCAAATGATTTCGGCGAGAGTAGGTTGATCAGTCTCGGAAAAAGGAAGAATAGTGTCAAGAGCTGTGCGGGGTTGGCGTGCGTAGAGCAGATAAAATGGACTGTATCTCGTTGTTTCGTGCTGTGCAGTGTTGTAGGCGAAAGTTATAAATGGCAAAATCACGTCCCATGTTTTGTGTCCAGAATCAACATACATGGAAATCATGTTGACGAGAGTCCTATTTGTTCGTTCCGTCAAACCATTAGCATGCGGGTGATACGGGGAAGTGTGACGAAAATGGCACGAAGCAAGACGAAGGAGGTCTTCAACTACATCGGCAACAAATTGCCGCCCGCGATCACTGATGATGACACGGGGGGATCCATGGCGTAATATAACGTGTGACAGCATGAACTGTGAAACTTGAGTGGCCGTTGCCGCAGGAATCGCCGCACTTTCGGCGTAACGTGTGAGGTGGTCAACGCCCACAATAATCCATTGGTTGCCGTTCATTGATCGCGGAAAAGGGCCGAGCAGGTCGACACCTACGACGTCCAATGGTGAAGTCGGGGGTGCTATGGGATGAAGTAGTCCGGCTGGCGGAGTTGTAGGACGCTTGTGGCGTTGACATTGCTCACAGCTCGCAACGTATGCAGTCACACTCGGTTGTCGGAACGGGGAGGCCTTAAAGGCAATCAGCGTCGGCATGACGACGACCGCTCTTGTAGCAGACTTCAAAGTCGTGTTCTTGTAATCGTAATGCCCAACGAGCAAGACGACCAGATGGGTCCCGTAGTCCTGTGAGCCAACATAAAGAGTGACATCGAGAATCGGCGTCCATAGATATAAGGGCGAAACTTGTGCACGGCGAATATGACCGCGAGACATTCCTGCTCTGTGACAGTATAGTTTCGCTCCGGCTTACTTAAACAGCGACTGGCATAGGCGACGACGTGTTCAGCAGCTCCATGGCGTTGGACCAAGACGGCGCCAATACCTACACCACTGGCGTCGGTATGAACTTCTGTGGCAGCAGATGGGTCATAGTGGCGAAGTACGGGCCCTGACGTAAGAGCAAACTTGAGTTGCGAAAAAGACGACTCGCATTCCGCTGACCACCAAAAAGGTGCGTTCTTGTTGAGTAGGGACGTCAAAGGGTAA